CCCCTCACACTCTGCATGGTGACAGGCCCAAGGGTGTGGGGGAGGCGTGCTCACTTACTGGCAGCTCTCTCCCCAAGCACTTACCACCTTGGCCCGTGCCTTGCTAACTGCCACTTCCATCTCTTCAGCTGCAGAAGAATCACCAGGGGAGCCACACTTGTATTCCATGGGGTCCTCGCCTGGGCCCCGCTGCTTGAGGCTATTGGCGACCATCTGGATGGCCCGCATCCACTCTTCCCTGTGTGGGGACAGATCAGGGGAGCCGTGAGTCCTGGGCAGGAAGGCCTGAGTCCCACCCTCTCCAAACACCTTTGGGCATTTGGGCACAATCCGTCTGAGCTGGGGAGAGCTGACAGGACCTCTGGGTGGGAGAGAGCAAGAGCGCAATAAGGACAGAGACCATCTATTTCCCAGGAATGGCCACCTGAAGTCAGGCAGCAATGAATTGATCAAAGAGGGGCAGCTACCTTTTTTCTCAGCCCCCTGAGCCTTGAATGAGGAAGAGACGGTGCTAAATTTCTCCGGGACAAATGACAAGCTCAAGTGTACAAGTGACCAATGTTTTGTTAAAGAAAACCAAGAGTAAAAGGAAGCATTCATTAGCCAGAGAAGCTGAAGATCTTAAAAGGCAAGAGCCACCGACTAACTCCCTGGAGGGGCTCTGCCGGGACTGGTCAGGGACAGAGGTTCCCACGGGGGCAGGGCGTGGAAGGAAGCAGCCCAGCAAGAGGGAGCCCGGCTTCAGAGCCATTAGCCAGTCTGTTGTTCATGATTTGGGATTCACTGGGGGAGCGTGTGCTTCAGATCTCTGCGAACTGTTCTGTCTGGAGAGAGGGAAACGTAAGTAAAAGTGACCAGAGACCAAGAAGAAAAAAAAAAAAAAAGGAGGCTGAATGAAATTGTCCACACCCCCCATTTTTTACCCACCCCACAAAAGTGGCAGGATCTGTTGAAACCCCTATGGATTTTGCTTATGTCTAAAAAACAGCCACATGAACAGTTGGAAAAACAAAACATTCGCTAGGAATACAAGAATTCAGAGAGCAGGCAACCTCCACAATCACAGCGATGTAAATAAGCCCGAGAATTGCCTTCCCCCGCTCCCACCCCCCGACCACAACTCGAACAACGCCCGCTACAAGTCAGAGAGGGTTCCCGTTCTGGCTCCTGAGTCCCCAGCCCAAAGAACACGAGAGGTGAGGGAGAGTCAACCCTGGTGTGAAGTTCACTGGGATACGACATTTACATGACTAACAGCCAAGGTCTGAGCTCTGAATTGAATGCCTGCGCAGGTAGAGATGCACTTAAGAATTAATATAAAACGTACATACAAAAAGTCAGAT